ACCCCCCCCCCCCCCGTCGACGAACTTTCCGGGAAAAAATTTTTAGGTCATCTTAAAAAAATATCGTCCAAAGGAATGTTGCAGAAAAAAAATTCTTGCAAGCAATTGGGGGATGAAAAAAAATTCGTGCACAGAAAAATTCCCCCCCCCCCCCCCCCTCAAATATCTAATGGTCCGTCCCTAATGCAAAATAGGTTGGGAAGATATGAAAACTAGGCGTTCTATCCACAAGCTGACATTCTATTTGAAAATTATCAATAATTTAACTTCAATAGGTGTCATCGGACACTAGGTGTCCCCCCCCCCCTTACCGATGGCCCAGAACAGTTCATTCAAACGATCTTATTTGTTTCATTTTTGCGAAATGTTTTCGAGAGCGATGAGTGCGCACGCGCACACATTGCCTGAGCCTTGTTAGTTTATTGGGGCCGACGAAAAAGGCGATGTTGGGACGCCATGTGTCTACGTATTGTGAATAGTTGTAGATAATTTCTATGAATTTTGTAGTTGTCAAAATTTTACTGCCGGTAGAAGCCCATAAATAATTGTTAGCTGTCCCGCAAGGAAGATGACAGATTTTTTGTATATAAATTGTTGTCGGAGACGACCATGCAACAAACATATCTCTAAATTTATCATATGATAAATATAATTTTTTAGGCCCTGAAAAGGGGCTCCACGTATATTTATAACAAAGCGATTGAAAAATCCAATGGAAAATCCTTATAGTCTGATAAAAATCCAAGATTTATTTAATTGCTTTTTACATCACCACCATACATAATACAATGACATAAACTCATTAAACTGAGTTGATGGTTGGGTGTCCGCAACAGCCTGAATGCGGGCCCAAAACGGTAAGAGACAAATATCAATAACACAAATAACAATTAAACCATGGAAGCTAAAAACAACAGCTCATCGACTTCGTTAAAGTCCTTGCTCTATAGACCCTTTGCACTGACGTCACAAATCCTTAGAGTGTCCTCCAGATGCTCCCTAACAGTATCTGTTCGGGTACAACAACCACATACAGCGCAAAAACTAACCATTTTGATACAGAATTATTATAAAGATTTACAAAATTTGCTTTGTTTACAAGCCTTGTGACGTCATTATGCATAAGGTCTATTGTTATCGATCTTTGGAGTTACACTTATTTTGTATTTGTTTAAAATACTACCGTGGTTCTAAAAAAATTTGGATGAACTGTCCCGGTTTGCCGGCTTTGATCAAATTTCAAAGTTGAATTAATTTGATTCTAATAACAGTTTAAAGTTCATTCAATCGATCTTAATTGTTCATAATTAGTAACACGATTCATCGCGGCCCGGAAGAGTCCTTTTGTGCGAAATGTTTTCTAGAGCGATAAATGCGCATGCGCACACAGTGCCTGAGTCTCGCTGGCTTATTGGGCTGACAGAAAAGGAGAAAATGTTGGGCCACGCCAGGTATTGTACATAGTTCTACATAATGTTCTTGTATATGATAACAAATCAAATTTTTAATGTCGACCACTATTGCCTGCACTGCCCGACGGCCGTAGAGGCCCCAAAAAATTCCCGTCCCATAAGGATTATGACAGCGTTTGTTGTATATAAATCGATGTATGAAACCTGTCCGACATAAAGCAAACAATACATCGATGTTTAAAAACAAACATCAAATTTTTCATTTGGCCCCGAAAGGGGCTGTTTTCACATACATTTATAACAAAACTATTGGAAAATCCTGAACAGTATAAGTCACAGCCTCGTCCCCAGGCGCTTTGATTTGCTGCGCCGTTTCGTGAGGAAAGGAATTTGGACGGTGAAAAAAGTAAATAATTGTATTTTTAAAATTCCATATTTGCGAATAATCACGACTTTGATATACATTCAAAATGACATTCCAATGCTGAACGTTGGATTTTAATAATAGTATCAGGGGTGTCGCGAAGAGGCTAAAGCAGGGGGTATTGTATCGCATTTGGCGACAACATTTCAGTCGCTAATTAATACTTCTTTTCCCAAAATGATGTTATGTTAACGTACAGTAATTCGTTAATATTTTCGTAGCATATCGACATTTTGCCTACGACTATTATTTTCTAATCATTGCCACTCAAATATTTTTGCTGACTACGAAAACAATTTACCGACAAATCCGTTATTTTGCTGAAAATATGTTTTCAAGGCGTGTCACCCTCTCTCCTAGCGTCGTCGCTGAAGTTGCTGAACAGTATAAAGTTCAATCAAACGATCTTGATTGTTTATAATTCGTAACACGAACCATTTGTGCGAAATGTTTTTGAGAGCGATGATTGCGCATGCGCACACATTGCCTGAGCCTTGTTGGTTTATTGGGCTAACAAAAAAGGTTGGGACGCCACGTGTTGTAGATAATTTTCTTGTACATGAGAAAGAATTTTGTGGTTGTTAAAATTTTAATTTCGATCACTATACATAATATGTAATCCCGCACTGAAAAATAATTACCGTTCCATAAGGATTGTGATAGATTTTGTTGTATATAAATTGTTGTATGAAACGAACACGTAACACTTCAATTCGAAAACTATCCCCTTTAATAGGGTTATCAATTTTTTATTGGCCCTGAAAGGGGTCGCATTCACGGTCATTTATTAACAAAACGATTGGAAAATCCTCACAGTCTGACACGAAGTAAATGTTGGATTCACTTGACTGAGAGAGAAGTCCGTCGGGCACAGAATAAGATACTGATCGAGTTCTTTTTTATCATGCTGCTTGATTTTCGTCACCCTGACCCCTAGCCACGTCCCTGAACTTGATGCGAAATGCTTTTGAGAACGATGAATGCGCATGCGCACGCATTACCTGAGCCTTGTTGGTTTATTGGGCTGACAAAAAGGGTGATAATATTTGAGACGCTACGTGTCCACATGTTATTGATAATCTCCTTGTACATAAGAAAGAATTTTTTAGTTATCAAAATTTTAATTTCGACCACTATATAAACTCGCACTGAAAAATAATCGCCGTCCCGTAAGGATTATGATAGATCTTGTTGTATATAAATTCTTCTATGAAACCAACTTATTCGTCTTGTTCGAATCACTATCAAAAACACTATTTAGAGTTATCAATTTTTTATTGGCTCTGAAAGGGGCTGCATTCACGGACATTTATAACAAAATGATTGGAAAATTCTTATAGTCTGACACGAAGTAAATGTTGACTCAGTTGACTGAGCGAGAGGGTCCGTCAGGCACAGAATAGGATACTGGTGGAGTTCTTTTTTTCTCTTGCCGCAACTCGCAAGCACCAAATCACAGAGTAGATACATACAGAGGTGTAACTGACTGTTGTAAACACTGCGGAAGCTTGCGTTTTCATGTACCCACCGCGTGCTCGGCCAACCTCGTCCCCAGGGTCTTCCTCGTGGTGGCGCGTGAGCTGAGGAAGACCCTGGTAAAATACGGTGAAATCTCCAGGATTCTTGGAGATTTATCGCATGCGCAGTAACGACAACGTTATGTTGCTGACTACAATTAGCGCTGGCGCTTACGATTTTCTTGCTTAAAAATATACATGTTTTGTTGATTGTTTATGGATTTATTCTCAAAGTTTTAACAACTTTTACGAAAAATACTTCAGATATAAGCTGTGAACACACATGTACACAAAACTGTGCAACATTCATCATCATATTGTATCAATTTGTCGGAGTATGGCGCTCAAATTTGTGACATTGTTTTGTTCGCTTTGGCAACCCTCGTATGATGACCTCAGATGCTGTTCGGCCTCAAATGCGACTGAATAAACACTGATAGTGTTGCCTGGAATATGAAATAATATTGAATGATTGTTCCGTATATCAAGGTACGTACTGTACATTTATACTGGATTTATTTTTACACGAGTTTCAAACTATTTCAGCTTTATAAACAATGAGATCACATCACTAACATACAGAAAGACTCCATATTTTCTCATCAAATGTGATTATCGTTACAAGTAACAGTAGAAATGCTTCAAAATTTATTCTGTATGTAAAGCAGGCCAGCATGTTTCATTTTCCTTTGGTGGTAGTCACCACTCACCAAGTCAAATGGTTAGCACTATTTTCCATCCAGCAAACTGACCTGGCGTCATTTTCGCAGGTGTTAAATGGCTATGTAACTAACCCAAACCCTACCCTAACCCCTAACCCTAACCTCAACCCTAACTCTAACCCTAACCGAATTAATGAAAAAATCCAAAAAGAAACGACTTTACAAAATCGATAGGGCGGTTTGCTGGATGGAAAAAAGTGTTCACCAAGTCAAATAGGCCATTCCTGATTTAATTTAATAGCCCCCCCCCCCTCCCCTATTGAGGTCTGGATATCCTATATGAGGATTTTATAGAGGGGCTTTTTACCTTAAATTTTTCTGGAGGGTAGCTTAAGAGATTTCTAAAAAATTAGGTGTTTTAGTGATATCCAAAGGGACAGGAACAATATCCTAAAGGGATAGAAAGACATCCATAGGGGTTCCAAAATTGCATCCAATGGGGTTCCAAAATTATTAAAAGGTATTATGAAGAGACCCCTCAATAGGGTGTGGGGGGGCTATATTAGATGGAATGGCCCAGTGTGCTGCAACAACTTTTAAAATTTGCATATATGTTTTTAAGGCACAATATGTTATGGAGTTTGATATGATGATCAGCACAACCTGAAGGTCTTGACTGAATGAACAACTTATCTGATATACTCCTACTTCCAATACTTTGCTGTATATTATCACCAGCTCAGATGTCAGTTGGATCACTTTGAATGAACATTGGAGTGGCACAATAAAGTGTCTGTATTAGGGAGGAGTCTAACTGTAGTAAAAGGCACACTTTTGGATATTAATCTGAATCATAGCAACTACATATACTGTAGGTTTCAAATTAGTTTGAACAATGAACAACTGAAAATAGAAATTTATTTAATTGGAAACACTTAAAGGAATTACAACATATTATATAATAGTCATATGTACATGATTATAGGTATATTAGTTTTACTAGATGATATTTATGACTATCCTGGGACAACATTTTATTTTTCCCAAGAGATTTTACTTGCATGATAGTAATAAGTTTAATAGTAAGAGAGAAGTGTGATGGATATGTGCAAGTAATTATCATTAGAAATACAAATATTAAACTGTAATTTTGACCATTGTAAATGTATTATTAAAGAAACAAAATACAAAAGTCACACAAGGCTATTTAACATAATACAGTCATAATACTAGACTGGTTAAAGAACTACTGAATAGAGGGATCATGAAAATCTTCTAAGATTACTACCATAGCTCTGTAACAGGAAAAGATATAGTGAGGTAAGGTTTCTTCACCTTGATAAACAAAATTATATAGCATTAGAAAACTATATCTTAATGATTGTTTACTATCTGATTGATGACATGATTATATATATTTCCATGGAATTCAAGTTGTTTTTTCCCAAGTTCATGTAAAATATGGTTCACCTGTTAAAATAATAAAATGTTTATTAGTTGTTTTGTAACAGAACAGTACCTGCTTTAAAGAAAATATAGGAAAGAGAAAATTGCAATAACAGTTGTACACTGTATATGGAAAACAGAATAAAATCTTTCTAAGCATTTCTACTACGTACTGTTATCATAATTAGATTAACTGGTGAGATAATATGAAATTTTTCTATATGTTACAGTAAAAACTGTGATTTCTGAAGAAGTCTTTCTGTATGTGTGAAATGAAGTCTTGCTGTATGTGTGAAACTGAGTTTATTAGAAAATGTGATTTCCGAGACTCCGAGAAAATGTGAAAGCAACGTGTGAAAAAAAATCGAATAAATTCAGTATAAATGTACATTACATACCTTGATATACAGAACAATAAGTCAATATCATTTCATATTCCAGGCAAGACTATCAGTGTTTATTCAGTCGCATTTGAGGCCGAACAGCATCTGATATATACGAGGGTTGCCAAAGCGAACAAAACAATGTCACAAATTTGAGCGCCATACTCCGACAAATTGATACAATATGATGATGAATGTTGCACAGTTTTGTGTACATGTGTGTTCACAGCTTATATCTGAAGTATTTTTCGTAAAAGTTGTTAAACTTTGAGAATAAATCCATAAACAATCAACAAAACATGTATATTTTTAAGCAAGAAAATCGTAAGCGCCAGCGCTAATTGTAGTCAGCAACATAACGTTGTCGTTACTGCGCATGCGATAAATCTCCAAGAATCCTGGAGATTTCATCGTATTTTACCAGGGTCTTCCTCAGCTCACGCGCCACCACGAGGAAGACCCTGGGGACGAGGTTGGTGCTCGGCAAGTTTCGCGAGCAGTTAAAGCAAGCCATCATCCAATCAGATGCATGCATCTAGTAACTTACCAAGCATGCGCAAAAAAGTGGGTACACTAGTTATAACTCTATAGCCGTGTTTACACTACGAGGCTAAGCCTGGCCTGGGCCTACCTTTGGACTAGATTTTTGTAGTGTAAACACATTTCGGCCTGGCCTAGGCCAGGAAATCTGGGCCCATCAAAATAGGTGGTCCAGATTTCCAGGCCTAGGCCAAGCCGAAGTGCGTTTACACTACAAAAATCACGTCCAAAGGTAGGTCCAGGCCAGGCTTAGGCTCGTAGTGAAAAACACGGCTTATATGTACCTACTCTGTGACCAAATCCTGTAATATGCTCGTGAGCATGCTTTTGATCCATTGATCATGCTGCACGATTTTCGTGATTTTCGTCACCCTCACCCCTAGCGACGTCCCTGAAGGTATAAAGTTCAAGCAAACGATCTTGATTGTTTATAATTCGTAACACGATCCATTTGTGAGAAATACTTTTGAGAGCGATGATTGCGCATGCGCACGCACTGCCTGAGCTTCATTGGTTTATTGGGCTGACAAAAAAGGTGATAATATTTGGGACGCCACGTGTTGTAGATAATTTTCTTGTACATGAGAAAGAATTTTGTAGTTGTCCGCAAAATTTTAATTTCGACCACTATGTAAACCCGCACTGAAAAATAATTGCCTTCCCGTAAGGATTATGATAGATTTTGTTGTATATAAATTGTTGTATGAAAACCAACATGTTCGTCTTTGTAATAGTCTTGTTCGAATCGATATCAAATTATCAATTTTTTATTGGCCCTGAAAGGGGTCGCATTTACGGACATTTATAACAAATCAATTGGAAAATCCTTATAGCACACTTAAGCCTGTTTTCCACTTCGCCCGTATCGTAACGTATCGGTGAGCATGCGCTGATTGAAAAGAGGTTTATAAATTCACGTACTTCCGGGTGTATTCGCGTATCAAAATAAAAAGTTCGTCGCAAGTCAACTTTTTGGCGTACTACGGAAGTACTAACCAATCAACATTCACGAAATTTTGAAATTTAAAAACGTTTTCGCTACGTTACGGTACGGTACGGGCGAAGTGGAAAACAGGCTTTATAGTCTGACACGGAGTAAATGTTGTTGACTGAGCGAGAGGTCCGTCAGGCACAGAATAGGATACTGGTCGAGTTCTTTTTTTCGGCTTGCCGGAAGCACTGAATCACAGAGTAGATACATACAGAGCTGTAACCAGGACGATAAGCGCCCTGGCTGTAACTGACCGTTGTAAACGCTGCGGAAGCTTACGTTTTCATGTATACCCACCGCGTGCTCGGCAAGTTCCGCGAGCAATTAAAGCAAGTCGTCATCCAATCAGATGCATACATCTAGTAATGCATGTATCTACTCTGTGACCTCTGTGACCTCTGTGACCAAATCATGTAATATGCTCATGAGCATGCTTTTAATCATGCTGCATGATTTTTGTAATATTCGTCACCCTCATCCCTAGCGACGTCCCTGAACAGTATAAAGTTCGATCAAACGATCTTGATGGTTTATAAGTCGTTACGTAACACGATCCATTTGTGCGAAATGTTTTTGAAAGCGATGATTGCGCATGCGCACACATTGTCTGAGCCTTGTTAGGTTATTGGGCTGTCAAAAAAAGGTGATAATATTTGGGACGCCACGCCGGTCCACGTGTTGTAGGTAATCTTCTTGTACATGAAAAAGAATTTTCTAGTTGTCCCATATAAACCCGCACTGAAAAATAATTGCCGTCCCGTAAGGATTATGATAGATTTTGTTGTATATAAATTCTTGTAATGAAGTTGTCTTGCGTTCTGATCGTCTTGGTGAATTAAGAGTTAAAAATACTATGTATAGTGTTATTTCAATTTTTTATTGGCCCTGAAAGGGGCTGCATTCACGGAATTTATAACAAAACGATTGGAAAATCCCTATAGTTTGACACGAAGTAAATGTTGTTGACTCACTTGACTGAGCGAGAGGTAATACAGCCAATTGCAGTTGAGCTTGCAGCTTGCATTTTAAACGCGTTGTTGCATCGTTGAAAAGTATGCGTTCATTCCTTGGAAACACGCCGTTGCTAGGGGCGTAACGTGAACTTTTGGCGGGCATTGTTGAACTTCTTAACGGCGTGCAAACAAACGTATAACGAGTTAAATATATTGTAAAAACGCCGCTTAAGCCTGCGACGGAACAGTAAGGTATTTTTAGAATGCCTGCAGTCAAATTAGAACTCCCTGGTCGGTTTTGTGACAAAATCTAATTTAATGTGACAAAATCTAATTTTTATTAAATTCGTCAACGCCAAGAATAGAAAAACATGTTTACGTCGTTACAACGCGCGCCAAAAGTTCACGTTACGTCCCTAGCAACGGCGTGTTTCCAAGGAATGAACGCATACTTTTCAACGATGCAACAACGCGTTTAAAATGCAAGCTGCAAGCTCAACTGCAATTGGCTGTAGCACAGAGGTAATAGGATACTGGTCGAGTTCTTTTTTCGCTTGCATTGCAAGTACCAAATCCTGTGAATATGCTTTTGAGCATACTTCATGATTTTCGTGAGAGGATACCGCATTTCCGTCTGAAGTCGTTCACTACTTTATCCATACATGTCAACGAACATCAACTTGTCCGTGAACGTACCTTTAAATATATAGGTACAAGTCGTACAACGTTAAATTTCTCCCGGAAAATCTCATTTGTGACTTGGTCTGACCATTTAAATAATATTTCAACAAAAATTAACCAATGAGGACTGAACTTCTCAAATCTCTATCTTTATAATACTCATACAGTATATTTGTTAAGTGAAGAAGTCCATAGGCGTACCGGGCGGGGGGGCGGGGCGGGGGCGGTAGCCCCCCCCAGTTTTTTGGGCAGTCGGGCAATATTCGATCAACAGTCGGGCAATTTTGGTTTGCAATAAAAAAAAATGGGACAAATTCTGTCAATTTTGTCTAAAATTAAGTCAATTTTTTGGCAAATTTTGTGATATTTCGAAAATTTGTGTTATGTTCCGAAAAATAATGGTTGTCCGGAAAATTTTTTTGACCCCTAAAATGGTACACTGACCGAAATTTTTTCGGCGGGGGGGGGTCGCCAAAATTATTTTTCCGGAAATAAATTTTTGGTACTAGTCGGGCACAAACCCGAAAAGTCGGGCAATTTTCTTTCCGCCCCCCTAATTTTTTCCTTCCGGTACGCCCATGTGAAGAACGATCCCGCAGTAAGACTAGTTTTCATTACATGCTTGTCGTTTGCTCTTTTACTAAGTTTGCCCTTTTGACTAAGGATTACGTGAGGAAAAATGAAAAGATCGTGGTTATGACTTATGAGATGGCCCATGGTTTATTTTAACGTGCAGTAGTACACAAAATGTGCAGTTCTAAACCCATTTGTGCAGTTCTTAAAACTCAAATGTGCAGTCACCAAATTACAAAGATATAACCTCAAAACAGTCTTCTCATTTACTCGGAACTCGTTTTCCTTCTGGATGCTCCAGATACCAGAAACCTGTCATTGAGCACCAATAATCTAAATGTTTTCCGGGAGAGGACCACCAGATCTTCATATTTTCCTCACAAATCACATACGTGCTGGGGTAATGGAACAGGATGTAAAATTGGGGCGAGCGAAGCTATACAAGAGAGATTATAGTGGGAGAACCTAATATTCTTTGCTGCCTAAGGTTTAATATTATATATTGAGTATTCATGATTCCCAGTTACATGTTTTGAAACAGTTTTTGTGGGTGGTTGGGTGAAACAAATCTTTGCCAGAACTTACGAGCCTCTAAATTCAAAATTTGGGGGACACCCCTACCTGTAGCTTCCCCACCCGGAATCGAGTTTGTCTGGCCCCACCCAACCACATCTTTATTCTGCCACCTATATACAAATTAAGAGTCTAACAAAATTTGCAACGTTAACTATAAATTTACAAGGTCTTACAACGTTAAATATACTGTAGATAAAAATCCTTTGGCACCCCAGTCAAACAACATTTGGCCCCCCAGTCAAACATGTGATGCTTCGTAACATCCCTAATATGTGCAGTTCTAAACTTTTCTTAAAATAAACCCTGAGTAACCTATCGAATAGAAGATGGCTGTGACACTCATTATATGAAAAATATATAAGTAATCTATGTTAGTCAACGATTATTCATAAATCTGGCCCTTCACCATCACGTACGTATTGTATTTTATCTCAACTAACCAAATAGCAATGTATTAGGAAAGTTACCTATCCGTGACTCGAACAATAGGGTAAATTGGAAATTGCTATTGGTGGATTTGGCAAAACTACAATACACACGTGACGGCGAAGGACCAAATTTATGAATAAACGTTGACTAACATAGATAACGAGTTATAGTGTTATTCTGATGAATTTTACAACCATATTCCCTTTCACAGGCTATGGTTATGACGAGGTTAGAATTAGGTTAGGGTTAGCATTAAACTGGAGTTTAGTTAGGATTAAGATCAGAACATATGGTTAGGATTTCCGCTACAATTCTCGCAAAAATTACTGGACAATCGTATCCTTGGAAAAAGAGCAATTACCTACTCTCAAAGTGGGAGTGAATGGGTTAGGTGAAATAATATGACACGCTTGCCTTTGTGAGATTGCTGAAACACAATGTCAAACTCAACATTGAACATTGTACATTGCCCACAGTATCCCAACCAAATCCTAACCAAGTAACCAACCGTTTATCCCACATTATCCTTATTCTAACCTAAAACCTGTTGTTCCCTATGATAAATTTGTTTCATATGGTCTGGAAACTGGTCAGAATATTACCACAGAAATAATTCCCACTGAACTCTATATACATTATACAGTTATGTTATAGCGTTCAGTGGCGATCATTAAAATCGTCCAAAATGGCGACTCACATGTTGCGAAAATCATGTTATAATTTCCTTCGATTTTCAACGCTACGACAGCACGCTGCACGACAAATTTCAGTACTAGCAAACCGTAATGTATTTTCAATCGACAGAATCAATAAACAGCCGCATTTGGTGGAGAATTCGCGAGTTTTTCGACCTCCTATATTGCAAGTGAAGTATTTTAGCGATGGGCCTGCTTTAACGGCGGCTGAGCTTGAACAGCGAACGCTCGAAGTTATTAAGTCGTTTGATAAAGTTGATCCCGATAAGGTGAGAAAATATGTAAACTTTAAGTGAACAAATTTTTTTTCAAAACTAAATTTGTACATTGAATAATTTGTATTTTTAATTTATTTGCACCCCCCCCCCCCGTCCTCAGGCCAGACTGCACAGTAGGGTAAGTGCACACTCGAGAAATTTTGTCCAATAACTTTTCACACTTGAATAACTATGCTTGTGCCTTCCTGGCATTGAATTGAAGATTTTGGGCAACAAAAAGTTGGTTTTGGTCAATTTGTATTGTGAGGGATAAAATTGGTGGGGGATAAAATTTCCGGCAAATTAGCGCAGTCAAATTACCTGGTGATGGAAAAAGCTCATTCTTTAAACAAGACATGTGTGACTTAATTTTTTTTGTTGGTGGCTTACTGCTTAGCCCCCCTGTGAAAACTGTGATGGTTGCTAAAGCCCCCCCCCCCCAAGTTTAAACTCAATTAAGGAATATTTCATTGACCACAATGTTAGCAATTTTGTTCACTTTGCCTTTTAGGCCAAATAAAAAAAATTGCTGGTTTCAGGTTTCACAGCCATGTTTTATATGGGTAGGTAGGTCGGAAAAACATTTTATTTAAAAAAATATTTTATATCAAGTATGCAATAACAGGATAACCCGTGAGCTACATGTTTTTCACGAGAAATAAACGCATCAAGGCGTTTTCGTCTTTTTTCAGCAGTAGCTGCCATTTCAGATACGTTTTTAATATTTTATTCAACTGTTCTTTGTGTAAAACTATGATTAACATGACTGTATGATTAAATTATAAGCAAACAAAATAATTTGTAGATAAACAAGTCTAATGACTATTTATATATTCGGCTATTTAAGATCTCTACTGGGAAAAGTCAATAAAATGTTTATGGTCGGTCATATTTTTTGACAGGTCGGTCGGAAACCTGAAACCAACTATTATTTTTATTTGGCCTTAGGCAGTGATCAAGAATCTTCATATTATTATCTTATTCTGATCTTGCCCCCCTCCCCTATGTTTACTTCTCAGGGGGTGTTATAGCCCCCCCCCCCTTGTTCTAGTAGATTTTGAATTGGCTTTTGGAATGCATAAGGCCTCCCATGACAAGTCAGACTCTTTCACATTGTGGATATGTGGTCTCCCTTTGACAAGTATCCCTGGCATTAGACAGAGTAAAATAATAAAATTAATTTATAATGGCATGCAATGCAATAGTTAATTAAAGTGTATTTTACTGTTCTAGGTAACAGTAGATGCTCATTTTATTAACGATATGGGCTTGGATAGCCTTGACGTGGTAGATATACTTATGGCTTTTGAGGATGAATTTGGTAAGATATTGAGAGAGATATGACAGTCGTCTTTTACTGGTGCAAGTTAAATTGGAACCACCCTTCACTTGTGTGACTAAGGGAAATTTTAATCAGATTGGGAAGGGAAATTATATGATCACATAACTTCACACTATAGGTTTGATGTCAAGTATCTCAGGGATGAATCTGGTGGGAGATGCTCATTCAGTTTTGGTCATGGTCCAGGGTGTGGCTGTTGACCACAAAGTGTAATCACTTATCACTATAAGAAGCTACAGCAAAAAGGCACTATTAAAAATTTCACAATCATGTTACTATCTCATTTTGTCTGTATTTTAATTTTGTCTTTGTGATTGCCTAAGTTCCAAATTCAAAAAATGGATTGGATATGAAAATTGACAACCCCTTGCTCCCCCCTCCCGGCAAGGCTTGGCAAGGCAATCCATCCCTGAAGCATTTTTTCTGTGAACTAGGTGTGGAAATTTCTGATGAACAAGCAGAAAAGATATTCACTCCAAAGGAAGCGATAGAGTTTATGAAAACGTTTCTTGACATCCATGATCATTGAAAGGTATAATTCTAATAGTGATGTACCCATGGCCATAAAGTAAATTATGCAATGTATTTGTGTGTCACAGCCATATTTATTTTGTTTTATCCCTCTTTTGTATAGGCTAAGATAATATACAGAATTCTTTTGAAAGAAGTTGATATTTTATTGTTATCTATTTTATATCACATAAAGCACAAAGCATGGATAAAAAGTTATGGATGAAAAAAGGACAACTATACAGTAGTTATATTTGTAATAAAGTATTTGTGACATGATTGCCTTGAACCTTGTCAATTACCATTGTCAGTTTTTGGAGAGTATATCTGTCATGGTGTTGGTGATTTTAAAGAGCTCAAAATGAGATTATTTTTGGTTGTTTTGTGCTGTTTTGTTTATGCTGCGGATTTGGGAAGACTGTTTAATTTAATTAATGTGAATAATTATTGCATGTGTTGCATAATGACGTTTCTAGGCAGGTTGATTGACATTGCAAGGGTGTGGTGTTTATATGTTGTTTTTAAAATTCAACCATTCATGGAGGGAAAACAATTTGCCAAGTGAAGCAGACATTATCGAGCAAAACCAGAAGAAGTATTATTGACAAGATAATTCCCAGAGGAGGACAGAAAGAGACATGACTAAAATCACCAAATTCAACAAATGTTATTAGCAGGGGTCTGGCAGCACAGTTGCTATTGTGGGGGCAAGGTTGGGGGTAAGGCTCCAGATATTTGATCTTATATAGTTCAAAATCCTTCTTTCAATTACCCTACCACAGAATAATAATTTAACCAGAAGCTCCACTCTCCACATTACACTTGTTTAGCTATCTGAAATGAGCGCGGCCAAGCCATATCAATTTATGCAACGAAGTTGTTTCCAGATCGCTAAACAAGTGTTATCAGCATTTTGATATGTCAAGAGTAGGACTTCTGGTTAAATTCAAATAAAATGTTATTCTGTGACACTACTGTCAATAATCTAATAAAGCATTTAAATTTGGGGGATGCAAATTTCTCTAGGTGGGGTGGAAAATTTTCCGATTAATATTTTTGAGGTGTGTGCACCTGCCTCCCCCCCCCCAAAGAAAAAATTGTCTATGGTGGATAGCTCTATCAGTTCTTACACATAGTGTGGTAACCTCCATTGGTAGAGGTATTACTCCAGTAATACATTATGCAAGGCCGCCGAGAGGTTGGTGGGGGCCCGGGGCAAATTTTTCTTTAGGGGCCCCTATTTCAAAATTTTTTTCGGACAACAACCCCCCCCAAAATTTTTCGAGACAAGTACATTGCAATTGCTTCCCAAATTTCGGTACTTTGCCCAAAAAAACAAATATCTTGCCCTTTGCGCAGAACCGGGGGCCCCCAGAACAGGGGGACCGGGACAATTTGCCCCCCCCTGCCAGAGGACAGAGGTCATTGCCGTACAATCTCTGAAAGCGCGACAATTTTTTCGCTAGTCTGTCGATCGATTCAAAATGGCGGCCGACGACGACAACGTGCAAGACAAAACAAAAATCATGGAGTCGCCAGACGACAAGAAACCCGAAGAAATTGTTCCTTTAACTTTGGAAAGTATCCTTTGTCGGTTAAACTTGAATGTTAATTTCGTTTTATTATGTTTACTTCTGTTTAATTTAATGTATATGACTTTCTGCCGTATTTTTCGAATTTTGAATTTTTCGAACATAAAAATATAGACAGGCCATCCAAAATATTTGGTTTGTCCATGTGTTTTTTATAGTAACTTTGCAAGGCTGTAGAATTGAATGTAGTGTGTCATGATGTGTTAAAAATCATGGAATTATTGAGGAATAGTGAAATTTTGTACTGTTCTAGGACACGTCATCTTTGATCTTTCGTGTTTTATATGTTACAAATTTGTTACATTTTTATTTATTAATATTTGATAGTTTATATTATTATATTCCAGTTTAGTATTAGACCAAGTGAATAGTTAAGTATGAAAACAATTACAGTCCTTGCAATTGTAATAATATATTACCGATTGCAGTGTGGAAATGGATATTTTTAACCTAACTACCTTGTCTTGCAAACACATGTCATTCCAGAAAACATCCATATCTCCCCCGCGGGGGAAATTTGCTATTTTATTACTTAATTAATCCCTATTAATTAACCTTATTTTATTAATTAACCCCACCCCCTTTGGATGTTCTAATACACTTACTATTATCAGAAACAAATCCCCCCCCCCGGACAGCAGATTTCCCCATTGGGGCAGGGTGGATCTTTCTGGAACAAGTCAATGTAAATTTCTCTTTCAAAACTCCTGACATGCAAATATGAGCATCCATAGTGTAGTCTTATTTTGTGGTTGCCCAGGCCAATGATTTTCACAATGGATCTATGCAGGGGTGGTGCTAGACCTCTTTGAATGGGGGTGGGGAGGGTGGAGTGCATTTTGCTGACTTATCAAGGATAATTAATATTTCTTTTCCCAAAATTGTTGGTGAGAGCGCGAGGGTTCTGTTTAGGCCAACTAAAAATAATAGTTGGTTTCAGGTTTCCGACCGACCTTTCAAAAATATGACCGACCATAAACATTTTATTGACATTTCCCAGTGGAGATCATCTTTTCATAAATAGCAGAATATATAAATAGTCATCAGACTCATTTGTCTACAAATTATTTTGTTTGCTTATAATTTAATCATTATCTAGTCATGTTAATCGTAGTTTTATACAAAGAACAGTTGAATAAAATATTAAAAAACGTACATTATTCTGACATGACAGCTACATGAAGCTGAAAAAAGACAAAAATGCCTTGATGCATTTGTTTCTCGTGAAACACATGTAGCCTGTGGGTGATCCCGTGTGGCACATTTGATCACATGTGACAGTTACTCATAAACAATGGTGGCACGAGAAATACTTGACAATGAGTTTTAACTTATTGCATACTTGAGGTAAAATATTTTTTAGAATAAAATTTTTCTGACCTACCTACCCATATAAAACATGGCTGTGAAGTCTGAAACCAACTATTATTTTTATTTGGCCTTAACCATAAGTTTTGTAAATTTCTCCACATTTTAGCTATCATTCTTAATTTTTAATTGGTGTCACTCAAATATTTAATTTTTTCCCTTCGTATCCAAGTTCATGTTTTGCCGGCTGGGGATGCTTTCCATTAACACGTCTGACCGGAAAATTTTGATAAAATTAGAATGGGCTCCATTTTTGCTTGATATTTGAGAAACATAGACCAGATCTTTCCATTGATTCAAAGACAAAGATTTGGGTCTGACCGGTCAGGCCATTAAATGGAAAGTGCCCTGAGATTCCTGATGACTTGGGGGAGTTCCACCTCCCCCCCCCCCCCTTTAGTGCCGGCCCTTGATCTATGTGTTCTGTAATTTAATAACCCTTTAAGTTAGTGGCATTGAGCTCTAATGCACCCTACTGTCTTATTTTACTCGTATAACAACAGACAATTTTACTTATCAAGGGGAGGGCCTGGCACTTAAGAATTTAACGTTGTTTATTCTTAACTATGTCAGTATTACCAATGATTAAAGAAATTCAACAACAGCACGGTTTAAGGCATGGTGATTATCAAAGATATAGGTATGTGATAAGATCGCTATTTTACCAGTACCTTTCTCATTCACTGATGGTATTTTGAAATTTTATTCGCTGTAGGCAGTACTGTGCTCGTAGGCTGCGGAGATTGTACAAGGTATTGCATTTCACACAGGGGACTCGTAACAGTGTGAAACCAAAGAAAGTCGGGGAAGATAAATTGAATGATGTCAGGTGAGAATGACTTGCTCTGAGAGCAAATCTTGCATAGAAAATAGGTTCCATTTATATGAATGTAAATAAAGTATGGCTTATTTAAATAAGTTGCAAACGACTCATATAAACAGTCGATGTGTAATTACTTGTCTTAGTCAAGTTAAAACAATAATTGTTTTAACTTGACTAAGTAATTACAAATTGACTGTTTATATGACTTGTTTGCAATTAACAATAATTACTGTATTGTACGCTCAGGTATCTTCATGTGGTTCTTATGAATGCTGAACGTGCATGGAGTTATGCCATGGAACTGAAACTACTTGCGAATACAGAGCCAAGAAAGAGATTTCACATGTTACGACGGCTAAGTAAGGCCACACAACATGCCAAAGAACTGCAAAAGCTGAGTGAGTCTGATCAATGTGATCCTCGCACAAAGCTAGAAGCACAGGTACAGTATAATATTTCTCCACAGCTTTACAATGTTTTGGGGCTCAATTGTCGGAGCAAGTACCTTCTACCTTGCAGAGTGTGTTTGATTCTCACTGCGGACTTATGCCAGCCAGGGTCTGAAATTTATATTTTTTCTCGGTATCCAAATGGGAAACCACGATTGAAAGTTTAGTATCCCCCCCCCCCCCAAGAGTCCAGTATAGAGATACCATAGATAGAAAAACTTTATTTATCCACGCTAACCCTGTCAACCGAGGCTGATTTCCACAGGGGGCGTGTATCCCACTTCTGGATTCTGGTTATCATAAGTATTATACCCTGTCCCATCCAATAACTCTCACTGTTACAAATTACAATAGCAACAGGAGATTCAACAGTCAACAACTAGACAGTTGATTAATACACAAAAATGCACATAATATGAGGAAAGGCTTGGGTGGCAAACTTGTAGTATTCAAAAGCTATCTGGAAACTGTCGGAGGTGCTTAACATTTTCCTAATGTTTGAAATTTTCTTAGTAACCAGTTGGGATATAAGTCTAACACAGTTCAAAACCAAATTTTAGTTTGGTATCCAAAACCAAATTTTAGTATCCATGATAAATTTTACTTAGAAGCATCTGTTACATTTAATATGTAGGCCTACTGTTGTTATATGGTTGGCACTTTGAAATTTGAAATGCAACAATGGAAGGAAGCATTAGAATTATTTGGCGAAGCAAGGTTTGTGGAAGATTTTTTTCCTTTTTGAGTATTTAGGAACTTGACATTTTATTATTTTGATCTATTGAATGCCATATGCTTTCATTACTCAACAAGGTGGCCAAAAAAATATTTGTTCTGAATAACTTACAGGACAATTTATGAGAAACTAGGCAGTGCATTCTCAGAAGAGCAGCAGAATTTCTACCAACAGAAGGCGGATGAGATCACTCCCAACATCAGATATTGCGCTTATAACCTTGACGATGGAAACGTGGATATAAATGAGTTGATGAAGATGAGATTTAGTTCGGGCACTGGAGCTCAAGATTTGCTGGCTGATAAACTTGATGTAAGATTGTTAACTCTTTCTCGACCGGCCTATTCACGTGATAAATAGGTGTGTTATGTTCCGGTGTGATTTTCTCTGCATGTACTGGACCCTTTTAAACTGTTGGGAGTATACTAGTCTAGTACCTGTAGGTGTAGGTGTAGATGTTTTTCTGTTGTTCGTTGCCTTGGCTAAGTTAAGGTGATTCATCAGTTTGCATTGCGCACTTTTACTGCACATATCTATTAACAAATTCTAGCTAATATATGTAGTTGAACTGTGATAAAGAAAGAGTAAGGCAAAGAGAAAAACACTCTGCATTGATTAGGTGTGCTTCAGGAAATATATCTTCAAAAATGACAGAACTCTGGCTAGGGCTCCTGCGCAACTAACACTAAACCACATCATGTTGCATGTTTAACTCTGTATCTCTTTAAGGAGGTCTGTGGCCCTACCTTTTTATTTTATATTTTTGTTCTTCTATACGTTTTACATATCATGCATATCAGAAAATAAGTATATATAAAAAGAAAATTTTACATGTCATGCATATCAGAAATTACAGTATATATTATTTTACACTTTTTGCACACATGCTTCCCAAAATAAACATGTCTGGGAAGATGGGAAAAGACATCTTTGCACAACGATATTTTCATGTATAGACAATAATGACTAATATGATATTTTCATGTATAATCACTAGATAGACATTTTTAGTAGGATCCTTGTTAGAGAAAATTCAATAACGGTTGAGCAATTGCGATTGTTCTTGAAACTCGCAAAAGGGTCAAGATAGCGCCATTTGAGGGAAAAGGTGGCACATTGCACTTGTCATATGTATCTTCGAAACCAGTTGGGGGACCCCATCTTTTTTTCTGTTTTTACTATAACCATATCATAAACTTCACCTCTGGGAAGTTTCAGCAAATTCTCATTTCCAGAACAATTACTGATGAATCACCTTAAAAAGTCCTTTCTGAAAATTCTTTTTAATGAGACGAGTTGAATGATACATTATATTTGTCTATCTGATAACCGTATCCGGAGATATATGGCTCTAAATATGGCTTGAATGGTTGTATGGTTTGTGTTTTAGATGGTGATATCTCAAACTCGCGAGAAACAAGCAAGTTCATTGACGGAGATTACATGGAAGGGAAAAACTGTTCCAGTCAAAAACGAGCAAGTTCGTTCGTTTATTCTTCATTCAAATGACAGCAAACAGGAGGTCGAGAGAGCTGGAAGTTTCGAAAATAAAATGGCTGTCTATGATCAGTTGTTGATGGAATGTAAAGATGGATTGCAGAGTTTGAAGGATGAGATGAAACCTGACCAGGTTAGCCTAGCATCCTGGCAAGATGAGATATATTGCATGATTTGCGTATGGGACTGGTCATTTTTTTATGGCAGGGGAAACTCTGCAGTCTAAAGTTTCATGTTGTCTGCACATGTACTTTCTTTGGAGACACCATTTGCCTCCTGGCAAATCGGAAAATGATCAAGATATGATTGATGTAGCTACATACTGTATTGACATATGACTATTTTTAGTCTTCAATATTTGAGTGAGTCTTGCTTTGGAAATGACAATAAATTTTTATTACCCAACCATTTACCCAGCCTGTTACTCACTGAAAATTTTGTTTACCCAACCCTTTTCTCTTCGGTGCCGCCATAAATAATGACTAGTCCCTAATTTTGAAATTTACAAAAATTCATCATAATTATGAGTTGAGAGCGGCCCATTAACATCTATTTCTACACATCTATCATTCTTCATCAAATTTTTTCTCAGGGTAAATCCAAGGTTCCGAAGACCGAGGCACATGTGGCAACGCTTCAATTCCTTCACTCGTATTTGACCTACATTCGTCTCACCAAGACTGTTGAACGTAATTTACTGATGGTGGATTCGTTGAAAAGTAACTTTCCCACTGTGCTGTTGCAGTCAAATTACTCAGAAAGCTCTCAGAGTGCGGCTGGCTCTTCGTCGAAGAAGATCACCAAACCAGAAGATCTTGTCCGGATATATGACATTATACTACAGGTACAGTTTATCAATTGTATATACCTTGAACGGTCAACGGTTGGTGCCATTTGGCACCGTTGGTAACGAAGAATACAAACTGCGAACTTTTGTAGATGATACAATAGTAGCTTGAGTTGTCTTTACCAGTTTAGTAGTGCCAATCAAATGAGGAAGCTTTCGTTGGTTACATAAGCTTTTATACTAAGAATATAAAAGCGATCACGTGACAAAAAATAAACCAATCAGATGGATTTAATCAAAACAAAGTACATAGTGCGTAGTCACATAGTAAGGTACGACACTAACCCTTCAGCTATTCAAAAACAGCACTGACACTCAAGGGAAGCTCTGATTGAACCTCCACATTGCTTCTACTTGCAACTCGTGCTCAATTGGTACAACTTGATTGGACAATATAATATTTTCTTAGAATTTAACCGACATCGAAGACCTTCTTGAAGATGACGAATCCACTTTGACTCAGATAATTGCTTCTCAGAAAAGTTTGTTTAAAGCTCATAGGTAGGGTTTAAAACTCATTTGTGGTCGAAGCACCTTAACAATATGATAAAAATATAGGTACATACTGCGTACATGTTTCAAGCCGCCTTTAAGGTAAAGTAACACGAGCAACAAAATTGCAGCAACTTGCAATAAAATCTGATTCCAACGCATGTTAATTGCAAATTTGTACTAATGTTGTCTCGGGTGTTGCAACTTGTGTGTGAACATTTCAATTAACATGCGTTGAAATAAAATTTTATTGGAAGTTGCTTCAATTTTGTTGCTCGTATTACTTTACCTTTAATGTTGATAACTTCAAGGACTGCCCTGTTGAACAATGAACTGTAATAATTATGCATTATAATTGTTGCCTTAATTTATGAGCTTCCATTATAAAACATAATCAGATAACAACTAAAACTTGTTTGATAATCAATAAAACCAATGGCAGACACTTCCCAAAATATTGATGGGCCGAAGTTTTCTTTTAGTCCTTGGTGATTTTAAGTTTCTTTTGATTCAGTTTGACCCATTTTCTTCCCTCTATTTAGGTGTCTATACATAGCTCATAGTTATCTATTAACGAAGAAATGGAAGGAAGCAACTGCTCTTTATGAAAGAGTCTTGAAATATGCTGACGAAGCCATTTCCTTGTATAAGAAGTTACCAAATGAACAGGTAAAAGTGCAGTATCTGTTCTTTAGAATTTCTCACAAGCTGTAAATATCGAGATTTTTGGCATCTCGCTCGATAAAGTTAACAAGTTTAAGGGTTTTTGTAGGTGGAAACAGAAGATACAAATTTAGAGGCCTATACTTATAATTTTCGTAACTGTTTCTGGTTAGCTCGAAAATTGTATATAATCTTCCGCTTGAAAATGAAATTTACATCTACAAATATCCTTCACCTGTTAGTTCTATCGAGCGAGATGCCCAAAAATCTCGATATTTACCCATACCTTACAGTGGCTCGACACCTGGAGTAGGTCAGTTGGTAGGGAGTTTAAGATCTTGACGACGGACTACCGACTACGTTTGAAATAGTTTTTGTTAAATGTATGCAAGTACTGAAATGCTTGTCATAACAAATTTATCCCAAATATGTTTTATGTACATGGTTTTGTGTTCGCGGTAAGTTTCATCTTTTAATTTTCATCATTTCTTTATAAAAATACTCTCCAACCTGCAACGTTGCGTAGCCAGTTTCGGTGCTATGTTCTTGATTCTGTGAGTTTACCTGTAATACTGTGTCAACAACTTTCTTATGCAATTTATAATAGGAACGTATATCAGAGATTGGTGAACTAACTGCTCAAGCACAAGGTCATATGTACACTGCTCATGCCTCGTATCTCCTCGGTAAGTTGGTTTATTTTGTCTTGGTTAAGTTAGTTGTATAAGATTGATGTGGTTGGTATGGTTGGATGCATGTTGCGCTATAATATTTCTTCTTTGACTTTGTATTACGTCATAGACATTGATGATACTGATGACAAGATGAAAACTCTAACACTTCATGATAAAGTAAGTTTCTTGCTGGGTTAAATTGTTTACAAAATTGGTCTTCTCCGTGATCCTCCGATAAAAGGGACTTCTAGGTATAAGGAAAGTTCAGTGTTGGTTTCCACCTGAAGACTAATGAGCTGATGGAACTAGCCAGTCTAGCCAGTAGTTTAGCCAGGTTTCCTCATCCAGCCAGATCTGGTTAGGTGGGGGGGTGGGGGGGGGTGCTCATTGACCCTCGGTCATGCTTCAGAGTGCGACCGTTGACCAAGTGCGTACAAGCGGGAGCTATGGCAGCAAGGCACCAGTCCGTAGTCTTGCTTATAAATATTTCACAATCATGTTACCATCTTATTTTGTCACCGTCTTATTTTTGGTTTTGGTCATTGGAAATTGGCATGCCCTTCCACCCTCCACCTACAATCATAGACAAATTTACTCGGACAAACATGGCAAATAAATTATTTTTTGAAACATTTTCATATATACTTCGTAAAGTCGGTCCCCCCTCCCCTGAAACAATGTTGATGAACACTTCAGTCATTATGGCAACTATTGCAGTATCTGTAGCAACAACATTGTAACGGGGGAGCGGGGAATACGGCTGAATATGCGTATAATTATTCAGTGACCGGGAGCGGGGAATACGGCCGAATATGCGTATAATTATTCGATTCCTTTAAATTTCAGCCATTTTTAATCAGCGTCCGCATGTTATTTGTCTAGGATTGTAGGAGGGGTACCGATCCCTAACTAGATAGTTACAGTAATGGGCTAACCATCCCTGACTAGATAGTTACAGTAAAGGGGTAACCATCCCTGACTAGATAGTTACAGTAAGGGTCAGAATCGATAGGGCTAACTCATAGGGGCTAACTTCATGGATTATATATGCTTATTTATATTCATCCTTCTAGCCACTGCAAGACAGACTTGATGTCTACGATGCTAAGCCATTAAATACAAAGAAACCAAACCTTACTCACTTTCCTCCAGATTTTGAACCGATCCCTTGCAAACCATTATTCTTCGACCTCGCCTCGAACCAACTACAGTTTCCATCACTGTCGCACCGTATGGAGCAGAAGAAAGCTAATGCTGGCATTACTAATTATATCAAAGGATGGTTTTGGGGTAGTGGAAGTAGTTAATGAATTATAGATATTTGTTTTTGAAATTGTCGTGTAATAGAGTAAAAATCTGCTATCACAAGATTATATTATGCTGGCCATTTACTGTCATTGAGTCCGATTCTTTAATAAAGGATGGGTTTTAGTTTAGTGCGCGATGGTTTTTTTGTTATTACGTACTATAAAGCCGGGTTCACATATGCCTGGGCTATCATCATTTACAGCTGTTGATGCACACATTCTTTTTTGTGAATTATATATTTTTTTAAATTCGTACTCTCACACTAGTGTCTCCCATATTTGAATATTTCGTGGCTGCATTTCTTATAGTACACACGTAGAAACGCACAATTTGTTACAAATCTGCAAACAAGTTGTTACAAATCTGTTCACAAGCTGTCAAGAAGTTGTCTTCGCACTGCTTGTTCCCAGGTATTGTAACAAGTTTGGACCCAGCTGTCAACAATTTGTAACAAGCTTGATGGCAATGGCATTATCAGACTGATCACAAGTTGTTCTAACAAGTCTGATACAGTCATGGTTAAAAAGAGTGTTACAAGGTTGACGACACAAGGTTGTAACAATACTGCTATATCATGACTGTATCCGTGTATCGGACTTGTTGGAACAACCTTGGAACAAGTCTGATAATATCAACAAGGTGTAAAGGTTGTTAGTTGTTACAAATTGTTGACAGCTTGTTCCAAACTTGTTGACAACTTGGGACAAGCAGTGCGAACAACTTGTTGACGGCTTGTTGGCAAACTTGCTACAAGATGTGAGATTTTTGCGTGTGAAATCCTCGGTTAATGGAATAATGGCACTAAATTTGTAAAATTTAACGCAAAATTTGCCGTCAAAAATTTGCATAATTTATTCATGGCCATATTCCATGGTAACCAATATACAACTGTAACGAAGTACTAATAAACATGGCGGACAAACAAAATGGCTTCCGAAAAAGAAGAAAGAAATGTAAAGCGTTTATTGTGAAATTGTAAAATAAAAACATGCCACAAGTAACTAGGAAACCCGTTCGTGTTCCTAAGACAATGTTCGCTCCATCACGGGTTGAAATTAAACAAAGTTCTGAAGAGAAACGGCCAATACGGTGGGACATTTTCATATTTGATAATTGACAATTTGTGTACATTTAACATTTTAACATGATTTTGTATATTGGTATTTATGTGTCAACTAGTACATTATCGACATGCATTAGTTAAATCTTTACTATAGCATTACATATGAAAAGCTAGTTCATGAACTTACAAGTAGTATTTCATTTCAAGTACTTATTTTTTTAACTTTTTGAGAGTTATAATTACAACGAAGTGACTATATGACCGGCAGCCGGTCACGGTTTATCAAATACTAAATGGCCGGCAGTCTAGTGACTATTGTTAAAGTTGAATTTTTATAAGATAAACCTATCCCCAACCCCAAACCCTTTTCTAACCCTAAGTCCTAACCCTAACCTTTTGAGAGTTAGAAAAGTCGGGAAAAAAAGTTTAAACATTTTTATGAAAAAACAATGCTAAGTCAAACAAAACACATCCCGACCCCGACTGCGTTTAACTTTTCGCACGCAGCGCCCTTGCCGTATGAGCTAACGGCAAGCTCGGTAAAAGTTAACGCAAACAAAAGTTTTTATATTCAACTATAGTCACTAGACTGCCGGCCATTTAGTATTTGATAAACCGTGACCGGCTGCCGGTCATATAGTCACTTTGTTATAATTATGATAGAAAACTAGGCAGAAAAAAAAGTTAAAAAAATTTTAAGAAAAAAAAAGCTAAGTCAGACAAAACACCCAGACTATGTTTCACTTTCCGCACACAGTGCCATTACCGTATTACCAAGGTGCATTCCCAGACTGCATTTTCTCCACCGTGCGCGGAAGATCTTCCGCGCGCATTTTTGATGCTTTCTATATATTTACTATTAAATTTTCGAAATCTTCCGCGCGCAATTTCCAAACTTTGCAGTCTGGGTGCATTCCATGTAAACTCTACGCCGAAGATACGCCAACATTAACTATAGATAGTATTGTAATTTGCCAAACTCACACAGGATATCTTCGCACTTTTGTGCACAGAATGCACCCTAGTCTCCTACGCAGCCTGTTCGCGGGTCCGAGGTTTTCTGTACGTGGGGAGAAAACCTCGGACCCGCGAACAGGCTGCGTAGGAGACTAAATGCACCCTGGATATGCTTTTAACGGCACGCTCACTAAAAGTTACCACAAACAAATGTCTATCTGTGTGTTTGTCCGTCTGTCTGTTGGTGTGTGTCCGTCTGCTTGTCTGTTGATAGGAACATTTGTGTGACTATAGTGGCATTGCCCAAGGACAAATTGATTAAATTTTGGTTAAATTTGGATGAACATTCAATGAGAAGTTAGCAAAACATTGTTGTGCTTTACTGGGCTGAGTATAAGTTGAATAATTATGTAATTAGCCGATTGTGTAATTGATGTGCATGATTCATAATTTAATTTGCTGGCACTGATATTCAATCTTTCATTGCCCAGAGGCGTAGGCAGGGGGACCCATCCCCGCCCCTGGTAAAATTTTGCCCCCCCCCCCTGGTAAAATTTTGCCCCCCTTGAGAAAATTCATTCTATAAAATAAGTGGAACCTGGCCCCACCTAGATTTTTGCTCCCCCCCTGACCAAAAATCCTGGCTATGCCTCTGTCAGTGCCCTCATTTATTAATCTTTATATTTGTAAATACAATTTTCTAGGGCAAAGTTGAGAGTATCTTCAAGTCGAGAGTCCAGAGTGAATCATGATAAACCATGGGAAAACATGTCATTGGCTGGTGCGTTACCACCACTGGCAACCACAGTTACGTCAATCAATCAATCACATGAATTGGAGGTATTAAAAATAGGGAGAATATAATACATTAACAAATTAACTCTTTAAGAGCCAATGCACCCTGATAAACTCTACTTTATTATTTAAATTTACTCTGTCTAAACGTCAGACAATTTTACTCATCAAGGGGAGAGTCAGTGCTGCTTTCACTCAATGGGTTTAATTAAATTAAGCCCTTTGAGTGGCATTGCACACAATGTGTCCTACTTTAATTGTTATTTTAATTTGTCCACTGACAATTTTAACTCTGTGTCAAAGTAATGGTATTCAATGGATTAAACCAATTAACATGCAAAACTCGTCCCTTGACGAGTAAAATCGTCTGGTGTTAGACAGAGTAAATACTAAAGCAGGGCATGTGGGGTGCATTCCATGTTAACTAAAGGTTGACAGGACGTAATGGCAGATAGTCTTGTTAACCCATTAACGTCCAAGACTCTTCCCTTGACAAGTAAAATTGTCTGGCATTAGATAGAGTAAATGCTAAAGCACATTGGGGTGCATTGTGCATTAAGGGTTAAGATTACAGGACACCCTTTTTGGCGTTTTGCGGAAAATCGCTACTGCGCGCTCAATATCAGTCCGATTTTCATCAAATTTTCACCAAATGTTCTCCAGTGCATGTAAAATATGGTAAAGTTGTAAAATTAGCAAGCAATAACATAATGTAAGAATTATTCAGGAAAATCTTAAATCACGGTACCGTTACGCTTTTGAGTTGTGCTCCTGCTGGTTTTAAGTTATATTTATGAAAATATCATTTTTATACAGTAAAATAGTTGTTCTAAAAAACTGTGTTCGGAAATTTTTGTTTATTTCATCATTCCACTGATTCTTTGACGACTGCAATATATTTCTGAATTGTTTGAGTGAATTGCTCTTTATTTTTAAAATATTCAAAATGAAAAAAAAAAGCCGAACACCATTTTGAAACTGACGTCTTTAGCTATGTCCTGTGAAAATTTGAGAAAAATTGGTTAAAACCCGCAGGAGCACAACTCGTTTGAAAATCAGTAATTCACGTAAAATTTTTCGGGAGAAAATTGAATTTGAATATTACATTTTCAATGTTTTTCTTATTGCAGCGAAATGTATTTTATTAAATAACTCTGCGAGTCTTCAACATTTTTCGTTCAAACTTGGTCAGATAGTAGAACTAGTCTAATGCTTTCATGGAAACAAATAAAAAAAATTTAGACAAAATTGACACTCAAAGGTGTTCTGTAACCTTAATCAGATTGTTTGGACCACAGAATATTTTTTATTTAATTACCTTTCATTTGAACTGTAAAATGACGGAGTTAATGTTTTGTGCAGAGCACTCGAAATGTGGAAGCAGCTGAAGCCAGTGGCAACCAAACATCGTCTGACTGGCTTGTGAGACACAGCTTGGAGTCTGAGGGCCTAACAATTGATCATCTCATGAAGCAAGGAATATTGATCAGGTTTTTTTGTTCATCAATAGATTGCCTGTTACAATATATAACAAATTAATCAATCAATAGCTCAATTGATTAATCAATAAATTACTCAGTAAATCAATTGATCACTCACATACTTAACGATTTAATCAATAGATGAACTAATTGATAGATCACTCTATCAATCCATTGATCACTCTATCAATTAATAGATTATTCTATCAATCAATAGATTACTGTATGAATCAATTGATCACTCTATCAGTCAGCAGATGACTTAATCAACCAATTGATAGATCACTCTATCAATCAATAGATCACTCTATCAATCAGTAGATCACTGTATGAATCAATAGATCACTCTGTCAATCAATAGATTACTCTATCAATCAATAGATCGCTGTATGAATCAATAGATTACTCTATCAATCAATTGATCACTCTATCAATCAATTGATCACTCTATCAGTCAGTAGATGACTCAACCAACAAATAGATTAACCAATTGATAGATCACATACTCTATCAATCAATAGATTACTCTATTAATCAATAGATCACTGTATGGATCAATAGATTACTTTATCAATCAAGTGATCACTCTATCAGTCAGTAGATGACTCAATCAACCTATAGATTAACCAATTGATAGATCACTCTATCTGCATGTTTATCAATCAATCAATAAATCACTCTGTCAATCAATGAATGCCAATAAATTAATGAATATATTACCTAACCAATCAATCTGTCGTTCAATACATCAGCCAATCATAACCTGAGTCAACAGAACTTTAAGTACATCAGTTTTGTTGAGTTCATCACTAAATTCTACATTTTGTTTAACTTTGTTAACCAGACCTCCTGCAGGATACCCAGATACCACTCCTCATTTGAAATTTGAAGCAAAAGTCATTAAACAGTTTGAATTTAAGTTGGCAAGACTCGTTGAAGAATGTCAAAAACGAATTGACTGGCTCATGGAGGGAAGTCGGAAGGTAGACTCTTGTTCAAACTTTCGTTTTACTAAATAAATTTATATGTTGATGAAATTTTATATTGGAGTGCATCAATCTTGGGTCTGGCCAACCCCTGTGTCTCTTTGGAAAGACCCAGTCCTAATATTATTTACCTGAATCCCAATCTAATAGACTAATTCAGTTGATAGACTTTAGAACTGATAGAAAGTTTGAAAAATGCCTGACTCAGGCTGACTGTAGTTATCAAATTTTTTGTAATCTTGTTACAACACCTTGGAACACGAAGTATGAACAACTCCAGTGCTTAATTAGTTCCATTTATTCTGGAAATCTAATGATCTATGTGTGTATACACATTTGGTCTTACCCAAGACCATTTCTATCATAAAAAATTACAACTGTTACTATAGTTGAAGGTATGAGCTCCTGATATTGGCAATCAGTGGAACAACTAATTGTGATATATTTATAAAGTGTCAAAATCAGAACAGCAAAAACTCTCTAAGCGTATTAAATTATTTTTTCAGATTTCCTAATAATTATAAAATACAATATATGATGCATTTTGTAGATATTTGGTTTACTGAAAGGACAAAGAGTGGCCATTCTTATCGACACGTCCGATGCAAATTGTGGTTATGGACGGCTTGATCTTTTACAGCAATCACTACAGGTGCAAAATTACGAGAATTAGCAAATATGATTGGCAGACATTCCAACTCTCCCGTTTTTACCGGGAGTCTCCCGAAAATTCATGCAACTCCTGGTCCTGGTCTCCCGATTTTTATGAAATTCTCCCGATTTTTCAGAATATTCAGGAAATATCGTAAAAAATTATAAATATACTGTTTTTAGCACCATAATAGTCTGTCTTGACCTTTTTATGAAGTTACTTTATGGCAATTTATAGGATCACTTATAACAACATACTCCCAAAATGCAGGAAACGCCATTTCAGAAGACTTAATTTTTATTGTTTTTTCCCAAAAGAACTAGATTTGAATTCATTGAACAGTCTCCCTAAATTTTACCTCCAATAGTTGGAATGTCTGGATTGGCTTACTTTTGTCGTAGACGAAATGTTGTAAAATACGGAAAATATAGCCTTGCGAAGTTTGCATATTTTGTACATGTTTGTATTACGTGCGGAAATTGTTACCATTTTTGAGCCGAAAATGGTAACAATTTCCGCACGTACGTAATACAAACATTCCCTTCTCTTTACTTAGATTAAAATTTAGTCTATAACATGCAAGTTGTCCATTATATGTTAATTGAAAAAACTTTCAATGAATAATTTTCGAATAGCTTCACTTATATTGCACTCTTCAATCACGAATTAACAAATGTCCACCCACAAATTAGAACTACTACACATAGGCGTCGAAAGATCGATAAGTGAGCGCGGGACCATATTCATATATTCGTGTTCTGCATTATTAATTTCTTTTGGAATCGATTGTTTTTAAGGTATGTGAACACGAATATATGAATATGGTCCCCCCACTTATCGATCTTTTGACGCCTATGCTACTACATCATGTTTTATGTTCTCCAGTGAAAGTTATATACAACAAGCAATGAGCGGATGATATCGTTTATTTTCAGGGATTAATTAATGAACAACTGGTAAACAAAGACCAGCTATACTTGCTTTCATTTGGTTCACAAGTTGATCCTATCTGGGAAGCGATTCATGACGTAAACTGTAGAATGTAAGTATTGACGAGTTTGCACTACTTGATCCCAGTTGTTGACATGTCTGGATCAGGCTGTTATCATCTTGTAACAATTAGGTTGATGAGGCTAACCCACTCGCAACAAGTTGTTGCGGCAAGTCTGATATCGTCTGCCCGTAACAAGTTGTGAACAATTTGATGGCAACAAGCTCGTGGCAACCTGTTACGAACAGCTTGTGTCATAGTCTTGTTGAAACAACTTGTAACAAGTCTGTTACCGTCATCAACCTTGTAATAAAGGTGATAGCAAGTTGTTTCAGACTTGTCACAACAACTGGGAACAACACATCCTGATATCCCCTCAACAACAACAACCTTGTTGCAACTTATTGGCGGATATGTAACAACTTGCCCGTTTTTGCGCGTGTACTAAACATAAGGGGCCATTCACAAAGGATGTCCGGCCAAATGATGGATTTTCAGACCCCCCCCCCCCCCCTTGTCCGGCATTGTCCGAATATCAAGAGTAAAAAACTTTTTTTACTTTTAGAACTTTTTTATAACTGTAAATGTGAACACAAAAACATATAAATTACTAATTAAAACAAAATCTAGTGTTAACCGCATAGTCAAAATGCCAATTTCACAATGGGAAGGACTGCTCAAAATAGAGGGAAAAAGAAATTTGTTTTTGAATTTTTTAAAATTTCGGACATCCGGATTGCTAAATCCCCCCCCTCCCCTCCTATGTCCGAGTTTGTCCTGATTTT